AATTCTAATTTTGAAAGCTGACTAGATTTTTATTATGATTTGTTTAAGGAGTTTAACTAATGTGATCATCATATTAATGCGGGTTAAACACGTTACATCAAAGTGTACGTTTGAATATATAAATGTTGTATGTTATAGAAGAGCTTGTTCGATGAGTCTATAACAAGTTTATCAAATAATATCATTGAGTATAATTAATTGCAGCTCTTGTGAATATATAAAATAAGATTAATTACTTGGCATAGTCAAATATTTTGAGTGAACTTGGCATAATCAATTTTACATCTCCAAAATAAATTATATAAGGCCAATAAATAAGAGAGTTGGTAGCATTTTGTAGGAAAAATAATTTGTAGAAACCGAATGTTGGCTGAAAAGTATACACGATTCTTTTAATATTTTATAAAATTTCATTTTAATGTATTAGATTTTGCAGCTCTGAAACACATCACAAAATAAATCCCAAATATACTTTTTACCAAAAGAAAATACAATTAACTTTTTTTTTTTTTTGCCATCCGGCCAGGCGTGGGCATATGGATATTAAATTTTGTCGCAAATGTTTGTTTACATTTTATAAATTCATTATGTATTATATACATAATTGTTAAAATTCAAGTTTCAAATCAACTGTTGTTAGTTGTTAGTTCTGTTCCAAAGATAAAGTATTCTGTTAGCTGATTTTGTAAATGGATTTAAAAATGTATTTGGTGTATATCTAATAAGCACCAACTCTTTGTATTTAAAAATGTATTTGTTTAGGAAGAGATACAGACCTGAAATCATGCTATTCCAGAATACTTATTTGTTACAATAATTTCAACCATGCATTCATGATTCATGTTGTACATAATGCATGCATACACAGTCCAAATTAATGTCAACAATCACTGCATCAGTATTATGCAGTTGTGCGTGGCATTTTAACTATAATTTACTGCATAATTAAGGTCCAAGCAACTTAATAACAAAAAAAGTATTAGGTGGCGTTTAGTTTTCAACTTTCCTTCCATTATTAGAAAATTAATAAAATATAACCGTTTCCTTCCCTTCCAAATCTTATAAAAATATTCGGAGTATAAGATTTTAATATAAGATCATACAAAATATTACTAATTTATGGACTAAGTAATGCAGACTAAGTATAATATGTAGAAACTAATTACCCAAGAGCAAAGTCATTATATAGTCCTAATTATTTGCGATACAAAACAAAAAAGAAAAAAAATTAATTTCTTGTAATGATAGTATATCATATTATGAGGTCTGTAGTATTTTTTATTTAATTACTGAGCTCAATAGGTTACTACATAGTTATGTTATTTTTATTTTTTTTAAGTTTATATAGGATTAATGTACATAAGAAAACTCTTCATCCGATGTTATTAGTTTTTGTCTAATTATAAGATATAAGATCAATGTTGTAATTTAACGTTTAAAACTAAAAATTTATAACTATCAAATTTATCAATAACTTGAAGATTAAATAAATAAATTGTTTTTTATTCATCTGTAGTCTACGCAACAAAGGATATTTTTATATATCTCTAATTTGGCTATTTGACCATTTTGGCCCTCATTAATTAATTAATAATCATTTTGCCCTTGATTCAAAACTATCCACCAATCTGTCCCTCTTTAATCGATTAACTTGAATTTTTAATCGATTAAATGGTTATTGGGAGATTTAATCGACTAAATCTCCCTACTTAATCGATTAAAAAATCATACTGACTTGTTTTCCTTTGTTGCCTGTTGGGAGATTTAATCGATTAAATAGGGAGATTTAGTCGATTAAATCTCCCAACAGCCATTTTTGCCTGTTTTGATCATTTAATCGATTAAAAATACAAGGTAGTCGAGTAAAGATGAGAAGATTGGTAGATAGTTTCAAATCAGGGGTAAAATGGTTATTAATTAATTAATGAGGGGCAAAAGGGTGAAAAAACCTCTCTAATTTCTTGATGATAAATTTGTCAAACTCAATAAAAAAAATGAAAATTTACTTATAAAGTTAAATATAATTAGCTACAAAAAAAGTTAAATATAATTAGAAGTATTTTTAATAAAATTCCAATTTAAAATTGGAAAAAAGTGATAGCAATTTTTATAATAAAAATATTATTGAGCATTTGTTAAGGAAAAACATTTGTCATTTTAAAGAATATAAGCTTGTTTCATTTTAAGTGAAACCAATGTGATTTAATTGGTTTTTTTTTTTTTTTCTTTTTCCTCCTCTAAAATACTTTCACTTTTTCTTTTCTTCTAATTTTATAGAGAAGATAGAATATAAAAACCACTAAATATACACTAAAATACAGTAGTTAAACTTAAATAAAACATACTTAATGTATTTATTTAAAATGACAAATATTTTTTTTTCAACATATCTCTAACAATTATGAATTACTTAATAATCCGAATTGAGCTCAATTGAATCCATATTAGGGGTGCTAAACTTCTAATATTGTTATCATGATATTTTCTTATTTTTCATAAGATTTTCCGCAAATAAGAATAGTATTTTTTCTACTTTTTTATTATAAATTGTTCTAAAAAATATATATCGCAGATTCGTTTCCTAAAATTATATACTTATAAATGTTATTAAAATATACTTCTAAATAAAATATTTGATTTGTGAATATTTTTATTTCCTTTTATCACTCTAATTATTTCAATATTTAGCAATAATATTGATTATAAAAATATTTCTCTTAATGGTTAAAAATGAAATATATTTTTCGAATAGTTCATTGTAAGAATAAACAACGCACATGTTTTCTGAGAGACATTATATATCCGAAAAATATTTATTAAGCTCCTTGAAATAATTATCTTCGGTCATCTCAAAACTACGTTATTTTATTTATTTATTTTTTTATATTAATTGATTTAACTTTGAGTGGTTATAATTTTCTTTTTCTCTCTCTTCTTTTTCATCGTTGATCCATTTTTATATGGTTATGATTTAGTAGCCGGAAATAATATTATCAGTTCAGAAACGATAAACCCGTTTAGCGGAATAAAAATTAGCCAATCCGTAGACCGACATAGTCAGATTGTCAAAAATCAAAATGATAGTTTCATATATGAGATATTTTTTAAACAGGGAAAGAAAAATAAATTCAATTATGAAATTATCATCGTTTGCTATAATTTTATATTTTTAAATTTGAAATTATTTGCAAGATTAAAAATAGAAAATTATTTTCTTGTAATGATAATATTATATTTTGAGATATGTAGTTTTATTTTAATTACTGAAAAGCTGCACATGTAAAATTTTTAAATCATACAAGATTAATATATTTTTAAAAAATTCATGATCACATCTTTTTGTATAATATATGGGCGAATGAATCGGTCATGAGACAGGACTAACTATTTTTCTTATGTGAGGTGTGGATCTTACGTGAGAGAAAAATAAAAAAATAGAAAGCGTTATTTTTGAAAGAAGAGAAAAAAAAAATATGTTTTCAGCAACGTGACAATTGATTTTCCCATAATATATAGGTTAAATGTTGTAATTTAAAATTTAAAACTAACTTTAGAATAATAAATTTTTTGACTAAATTGCAGATGTTATCTCTCGTTCTTTGATAGAAAATAAATTTTGATGACAAATCAGGACACTTAATATAAATAAATCTCTCGTGTTTAGCCTTAAATTTCACGCTGTTCTCTCTTGCGTTAGAGAAAGTAGACAGATTTGATTGAGTTTATTTTCTTCTTGTTTTGTTTTTCTATGTTCTTGTGCCACAAGATGTTCAGAGTGTTTGGTAAGGAGAAATTTTTTGAGATTTTTGAAAAAATTATAATAATAATCTTATTTATCCACATTTCATATAAAAATTTTGAAATTTCTTCAAGAATCTAATTTTTTCGTGATTTTGTTATGTGTACATTTTATTCCAAAATTCCACTAGGTGATATTCTTAGAATCTCATATATTAGGATAAATTTACACTTTTTTTGGAACAAAATTTTAATAATACTTTAACTTAACAAACAGCTTTTGGTAATATTCTCGGAAAAATGACTTTCTCGTACTATTCTTATAAATCATAATCTTCGGACATAAAAAAAAATTTCTTTTATCAAACGCCTTCAAAAATTGCTTTAAATTTTGATAATAAATATAAAATTAATTAATTTTAGGGTATTTTATTAATTTTATTTTTTTTATCATATAATTTTACTAAAATATTATGCACTCTTTTTTTTTCTCAAATTTTCATAACGATGTCGTTTTAAATTGTAAAAAATAACTCTATTTGCAAGAGCAGAAACATTTTTTCTTTAATTTCAATATGCGTTTGCAGCCATATTTATTCCTTAATAAAATAAACTTTAACTTTTTCTCAACAAACGCACAACCCCACGTACAGTGTTTTGCTAATCACTACTAAAACCGTTATTGTAAATTAATTTTTGCTAAACAGTTAAACACCCAAGTGTTTTTGTCAAAGCATGTGTTATTTTGGGAAAGAAATTTAAAGCACAGTTTTTTTTTTCCCCCTTGGCAAGTAACCCACTAGCAAATATTAATGCCAAATTGCCTAACCCGTAATTTGTTACAAAAACAATGTTAGGAAAAGAAGGACACAGTGTTAGGAAAAAATACACTCACAATTACCCAATTCAAGACTTAGAATCTTAGATTGTTCATTGCATCAAATCTTAAATCCTAATCTTGTTTAAAAGATCAAAACTTTCAACTTACAAAAAAAAAAAAAAAAAAAAAAAAAAATCCCAATCTTGTTATCCTCATTCCTCTTTTTCCTCTTTTAGATCAACCCAAAGGAGTCAGCAAAATCAATCTCGAGACTGAATTCAAAGCCACCATACCAAATTATCCCTTCATTCACGGCGAGATTAAAAAAAATATATTAAGAAAAATAAAATAAAAAGGAAAAAGGTAAGTTCCAGTAATTGTACTCTTTCAGATGTAGTTAGTTGTATTCAGCCACCTCACAATCCACACAAACTACAATAATAAGAACAACATTCTTCTTTCACACACAAACAAACACCCTCAACTCAACCACCTGAACAATTTCTCAGCACCCCACACCTAAAAATCAGATTTTTTTCGCTTTTGTTCTATTCAAACACTATTGGGTATCTTAAAAAGGGTTTCTTTCTCTCAGATTCACCAGAAGAAGAAAAAAAAAAAAAAACATAAAAAAACAAAACCCATAACACTATGAAGAAATTGAAGAACTACTACATGCACCTGAGGCATCATCATCATCCACAATCATCAGAGCGAAAATGGGTTTTCCCACTAGCGATTGGTTCTATGCTCTCTCTCTTCCTCTTATTCGTGGCAACTCTAACCTCACCTGAAGGAACACCTATTTTCCCATTCTACCGTTCCGTCACCGCTTCCTACTCCGTCTTCGTCGAATCCAAGCTCCACCCATTACCCATCTCCGCCGTTCCTCCGCCGCCGAGACTCGCCTATCTCATCTCCGGTTCCGTCGGCGACGGCGGTGCCATAAAGCGCGTGCTTTTGGCGCTATACCATCCCCACAACCGCTACGTGGTGCATTTGGACCTTGAGTCCTCGCAAGAGGAGCGCGTGGATCTGCAAGGGTTCGTGAAGAACCACGCGCTGTTCCAGCAGTTTGGGAACGTGAGGATGATCGCTAAGGCGAATCTGGTTACCTATAGGGGACCCACCATGGTGGCTAACACCCTCCACGCGGCGGCGATCCTCCTTAGGGAATGTGGGGATTGGGATTGGTTCATTAATCTCAGTGCCTCCGATTATCCACTTGTTAATCAAGATGGTTGGTGTTTTTTTTTTTTTTTTTTTTCATTTTCCATGTTTGTTATGTTTTTTGTTTTTATTTTTAATGATGTTTGGTTTTGTGGGTTTTGCATAACTAGATCTGCTGCACACGTTTTCTTACTTGCCTCGCGATCTTAACTTCATTGATCATACTAGTGACATTGGATGGAAAGAGTGAGTTTTGTCTTTTCTTCTTCTAATTTTTAAGTATATATTGTACAATTTTTTTTATTTTTTTTATTTTTTTTGGGAGTGAGATTATTTTTGTGATTGGTGTTTTTGATGTGTTTATTAGTCATCAGCGTGCAAGGCCAATAATCATTGATCCAGGGTTGTATATGAATAAGAAGCAAGATGTGTTCTGGGTTACACAGAGGAGAAGTAGACCAACAGCTTTCAAGCTTTTCACAGGTGAAGATTCTTTTCTTTTCTGTTTTATATTGCTTTTTGTTTTCTTTCTTTTTTTAATTTCCCGTTTTTCCTTATGATTTTATGTGGATAGTTATTCTATGTATGCATAGAGTTTTTTTTTTTTTTAAATATTGCCAGCCTTTTGGTGTTAATTTTGATGAGGAATAAGTCCTTGCTTGCTGGGGCTTTCTGCTTTAGAAGGAAGCTTTCATACGCTTCCTTAGGTGACCTTTGGTGTTAATTTTAATATAAGATACATTCATATGTTTGTTAAGGTATCTTGGTGGCCTTGGGTGACTTTTCCATGTTTCATCATTTGGACTAGATCAAATTATTGTGATGTTTGTTTTAGTTTTGGTGTGGCAATAATACAGCATGGATGTTCGTAAATGCCATTTTTTTTTGGTGAAAACGTAAATGCCATTTTTATTAGTTAAATGTACACAACTTGAGTGATTCTGGGTGTTTGGTGATTTCAGTAATAGTTGATTTCAATTGTGGTAACTGTTATCCTTAATTTTCTGGCGAGATATGAGGATTGCAGGATTTAACTGGAAACATACTTTATCTGGCCTCTAGGGATGAAACTTTTGAAAGGTTATTGTAAAAGTGAATCCCCTAATAATACTGATTTTCTGAAAATAAAAGCAAACAACTGCCTTGCTTTGTTTACAATCTGTTCTTGGGCCTGTGAAAATATTTATGCAGCATCTGATTTTTCATGGGGTGACCGAATATAGGACACCTAGAAGGTGTGAATGTTGCTGGCATCTAAATTTTTGACTAGGATAAGGCTCATCTCTAAAATAAGAAAGAGTATATACACCCTTGATTTAATTTAAAATGCATCATAATCTTTACCCACTAAAGTTTAATGATCAATACACTTTTACTCACTTCAAGAGTTTTTTCCACTAATGGAGGAAAACAACTTTTTGAAAGGATATATTAGATTTTCAGTCAATGGCAAGACAATGTTTTTCTGCCAGTGAGATGGGTAGAGTGCAGGAATATATCATATAGGATTTTGGCTTCTTGCTCATATGCTATTATACCATGACCATCTATGCTGGTCATATCAATTATTTTGGTAGAGCTCATAACATTTCTCCGAAAATGGGGGAACTAAATGGTAGAGTTTATCCTTCAGGATTAATGATCTTTTGTTTAGCATCGATTATTGAACTGCAATTTACATCTTTCTGTTCCGCTGTAGTGAATGTTAGTATTAGTTCAACAACCCTCTCATTGTCCTAGATTGGATTAAATCACCTTGCAACAGCCATATTCCACCGATCCAATTTTGGTGCTTTGGATTCTTTTGTTGATTGTATTTCAACTGATTTTTTTTATAATAATCTTGTTATGTGATAAGCCACTAATTAGACGGGTCTACACTAAGAAGCATGGAATAAAAAATACAGAACAGAATGTTAGTGGTGGGCCTATAATGTTAGTGGGAAAAATTATGTAATGGGAAATGATTAGTGGGGTAATTATTGCAGAATGTTAGTGGGGAAATTAGATAGAGATTATGAATAAAAGGGAAGCTAATGTATGAGGTAGTGCAGAGAGTTATCTGAGTTTGTTTTTGGGGAGCATTCTTGCTGCAGAGAGTGAGGCTCTCCCGAATAGGCTCTCTGTCTGTATTCTTTTCCAGTCAGTTTGTTTGTGTCATTCTTCCTTCTATCTCATTGTCCTAACATTTTTATGCATCATGACTCATCTTCCCTCCATGAACTTGACGTGTGGATTGTATGCTGCTTGACTTTATACTTTTGTTTTCTTAATAAGTCTTATTTTGAAAATGTATAATATTTAAGATTAATTAATTTATAAATTTTGAAAATAAACCTGTAATTTGTAAATATACAATTCCTAGAATTGAAAATATATTGGAGTTTGGGTTATATGCACCTGATAAGCGAGAACCTTATCATAAATGATTTCCTAAAACATCTCTCTTGTTAGGTTCTGCTTGGATGGCACTCTCAAGATCTTTCGTTGATTACTGCATATGGGGATGGGACAACCTACCTCGGACTGTTCTCATGTACTATTCAAATTTCATATCTTCCCCTGAAGGATACTTCCATACAGTTATCTGTAATGCTCAAGAGTTCAGGAACACAACTGTTAATAGTGATCTGCATTTCATTTCTTGGGACAATCCTCCCAAGCAACATCCTCACTACCTTACACTTGCTGACATGAAAAGTATGGTCGGCAGCAATGCTCCCTTTGCTCGGAAGTTCCACAGAGACGATCCAGTATTGGACAAAATTGATGCCGAACTATTATCCAGAGGTCCCGGAATGACTGTGCCCGGAGGTTGGTGCATAGGAAGCAGGGAGAATGGCACTGATCCCTGTTCTGTTGTTGGTAACTCCACAGTCCTGAGGCCTGGCCAAGGTTCCAAAAGGCTCGAAACATTAATCAGCTCATTGTTGTCAGATGAAAAATTCCGGCCTAGACAGTGCGTATGAGAAGAACCAACACGCAACCGCGGTGTTCTAGAGGTTATTTTCCATGCCACTGGCTTCATTAGTTAGCATGATCATTAAGTTAGTGTTTCTTTCCGGTAGGAAAAGAAATAGTGAAAATATACACATTGTCTTTTTTTTTATTGAGAGACACAAATCTAGTGAAATGAGATTGTCTACAGAGCTGGATCACACGTTGTAATACTATGGTATATATATATATATATAACAGCTGACTCTGTAGCCCCCTGGTCACCTTTTCCTTTCTTTTTCACTTGCCTTGATTTCAACACAGTAACCAGCTTTGAAGGTTCTCTATCAAATAGGAGGGGATGGTAGGAGGGGGGAACAAAAGAACAAAATCTGTGTGAAATGGAATAGAAATACGTTTTATGTATTCTTTTTCTATATGCTTTTTAATTGGTGATGTTATGTGGCTAACTTTTCTTTTGTTCTTCACTCAAGGCATCTCTTCCTATGCTTGTGTGCCAAACGCATTGACATCATTTCCAAATGGTGACTTCTATAATTCACCCTTACCCCTACCCTCTTTTATTTTTCCTTCAAGTAGGTTTCAACAATTATACAACGCGTTAAATTAATTATCTTTGAATGGTTAATTAAGCGACTAAAGTCTACAAGCCGGTTTTGTCATGGTTGGAATTATAGTTTTTGACTAATGTAATGTGGATGGATTCCTTAAAGATGACTATTTGATTGTGTTTCGTTGAGTTGAATATTCTTCATTCTTTGGTAATGGGATGTACTGCGGAATAAGTTTCGACCCATTATTAGGGTAGGTCAGGCCTTATAAATTGTCTCTACTATTAATCATTGGAAAAAATATTTGTGTTTTTAAATTATATAATTTGTGTCATTTTACTCTCATAAATAAAGAGGTGAGATCCATACCAACAAAGCTCAACACAGTTGGTAGATAGCTGGGTTTTTTAAGCATGTTGACGGGGGTTCGATTCCTGACCATCTGTATGGAAAAAGCTTTGTTGGGAGAGATTTATTCACTTAATGTGATCTCCCGCTTCGAAAGAATTAATTTTCTGCTGTCAGTTGGAGGATACCTTGGGAAATCAAAAAAAAAAAAAAGATGGAATTTTTTTGTCCACTCTCTCTTGTTTTTTATCTATCTTTTTTTCACTTAAAATGATATAACTTTATATCTTTTAAAATGATACATATTTTTTCCTTAATCATTTAGCCTAAATTAGTGAGAAAATTCCCAAGTTAAATGCATCTTACCAGGTGCATGTTTCTTCATTTATTGCCTAACGGGGGACCATAGGAGGCTATGTGGGGGCTTAATAGACTTAAATCATATCACCTTTTATTGCAATGAATGAGTAAAACTTTGGTTCCACGGAAGTAGCAAGTGGGTACTTTCTTTTTTTCATATTTGTTAAAATTTTCACCACTTTTTAAAAGGTTTTTTACGTCAGATTGAAATTTTTTCACCATTTGGAAGATACACACAAATTTTTCGCAATGAAGGGCAAGTTTAAGAAGGTGAAATGTATTCGTAATATTGTTTTGAGAAAATCGATGCTATCGAGTGCCGACTGAATCATGAGTTTCGAAAGTACAACATATCAGCTAGAAAAAATTTAAATATTATTATTTAAATAAAAAATTATAAAAATATAATATTTTGAAACTAATTTATAAATTTATAATAACCAATCGTGTCAAAAATTGGTGCGATTCATCCGGGTGCGATTCATCCGGTGATGAAACATGAAAGTCAAAAGTGAATAGTTTTATGTAAAATTTCGGAAGACCATAACTTTTGACTCTGGTGTTCGAATGATGTGATTCTTTTTTTGATTCTACGTAACTTTCCGAGATTTATGGACTAGAAAATCTCGTGGTCAAAAAAGTTTCTCGAAAAATGCTTCCTTGTCCCTGTTGGCACATTTTATCTTTGCAAATGTGAATGATGTTATTTAAGTTGAAGTCCTGCCTCCCACAAACACAATTTCTTGGCAATAATGATGTCATAATCACAAGAGCGTTTAAACTTACAAGCCCCCAAACCAACATGACTTGGTCTAGTTTTCCCACTTCCCTATCTCCTCAATAGTATTACTTCCTCGTCTTTTCATCTCTTTCACAAGAATTTTATCATCTGTGTATATTATCCCATTACAACGGTTCCACCAACTTTCATTAACCCAAGCCAGCAATTTGACGCTCCTTTTTCGCCATTGTTAGCTTATGAACCAACAGTTTTTTCAGCAACAAGATCAGTACTCTGAGGCTTTTCGAAAGAAGAAACTTTGTTGTCTTTGTTGTCTATGCGTGTGGATGGAGAGGAAACCACTCTGATGATTAAAAACATTCATAGCAAATAAATGTATGTTGTCCTTTTTTTGAAAAAAATTTGGAGATAAAATGTTGTGGTGGCACCTCTGATGCACGAACACGCTCTTTGGAGAAAATAAATGTGTGTTGGACATCGACTCGTTGCATCACACGATCAATATTTTTAATATTTATGATATGAAATTTGAATATTTGATTGATTATATAACTTTTTATGAGCTACTATATGTATTAAATTAGACTATATTAAATATATTAAAAATATTATTTAATATCAAAACGTGTTATAACATATCGAAATCTAATATTTTTTAAAATTAACTTGTTGCCTTGTTGTGTCCCGTGTCGGTGCAACACAGGGTGGCACCATTGTTGCAAATTAAAAAAAAAAATTGGAATTTTTTTTGACCAAATTTTCTTCAATGAGATGTCATTGCATAGATCTCGAAAAGTTATGTAGAATAAAAAAAAATACCTGATTCTGATATCTGAGTCAAAAGTTATGATGGCCTTCCAAAATTTTACAGTAAAACTGTTGACTTTTGACTGCCACATTTCATCACTTGGGACGCGACCAAGCACCCGATGTGCCTAATTGGAGCACGACAGGTCATGCCAATTTTGAGCTAGACTGATTGTTATAGATCCATAAATTAGTTTCAAAATATTATATTTTGTAATTTTTTATTTAAATAATAATATTTAAATTTTCCCCCAACATGTCGAGATTGGAAGAAACCTTGTACCACTGTGATAGTTAAGTATTTCTAATGACTTCTTCTATGAGTTTGAGGCCCAATAGGGAAGAAGAGAAGAAGAATAATAGTACCACACATGTATCCAAAAAAATAATAATAGGGCCACACATGTATAAAAAAAAGAAAAAAAGAAAAGAAAATAGTATCACACTAATAAAACATTTTTTTTTTTTTTTGATAACAATAAAACATTTAGTCGAGGTACAGCGTTCATAGTACGAACCTGATTAAACCTACTTTTTCACCTTTCTAAGCGTGCGTTTTTATTAGAGTTTGTCCAATTAATTTTAGTAGAAATGTAAAATTAATATTGTTGAATGAATTTTTCTACCGTTGAGGCGGATTCTCTCATGACCAAAACTAATTTGAGCTAAATTGAAAAAATTAAATTTTGCAAAGTGGACAATACCTCTCAAGGGAGAGATTCTTATAAATATTTGGGAATGAATCTTTATATGTTAAAATTTTATACGATTTGATCACATGAAATTTTTGAATTTATCTCTTTATTCATTAATAATAATTGGACCCTACCTATTTAATACATGTAAAAGACACAAATTATTTATATGACCAAGTCATGTAAAATTTTAACATGAGAAGATACATTTCGTAAATATTTAGTTAGCAGAATCAACCATATATTATTTTAACCAAACTCATTTGATAGGGTCTTTCATTAAGAAGTGTATTGAATGTATTGTGAGTCTTTATTCTGAAAGGTGTATTCAAGACAATTGGACAAACAAGTGAACAGATTCACATTGAGTTTCCTCTTAGGTTTTATTTGTATCTATTTGCTTATTGATTAGAAATGTAGCTCTAAAATTATTCTTTTGTATTCATTTTTTTGTTTTAATTAATGTTGAAGTAGACAATAAGGAAGCATTTATTTAGTGATAATTTGGGACTTGTATTTTGGGTTTAGAGTTAAATCGTGTTAAGTACAATAGTTATTGTTCAAGTTAGTGAATTATTGTATAAGGATAAAATGTATTTTATTTTTGTACTTTAAATTGAGCTTGGAATCTATGATGGATTTGTCACCCAATTGAATAGAGTTACTCCTTTTGGAGTTTTTTTTTTCCCCCACATACTCCTTCTTGAGTTATCTCTTTGCACTATTCTTGATTGCTCAATATTATTATATTTGAATTTACATTAGTTTAATTAAAAAAATTATATAACTCAATTCATCCTCTTGAATTCATATGAAAATAACATATTTGTTTAATAAAAATTAATGATATTCTAATATTTTATTCTCAAAGAACAATTTTTATTCCAAAATCTCGCTTACCAATTCTAAAATGATTTAAAACTTTACATGTTATAAGAGATAAAAGTGTATAAGGTCATGTGAGAAGAAGAAAGAAAGAAAATTAAAATTTTCACATTTATATATATATATATATATATATATATATATATATATATATGAAATAATCTTGTCTATATGAAACTTTAGGCGTATAAGTTGCTTAGAAACTTTGCATGTGAGGTTGACTTCCCGCTTAACATTTTTTACCAACTCTTATCATAGACGTTATCAAATGAAAATGGATAGCATGGGAATTTTATTTTACGGGACGTTTGGTACGAGGGTTTTTACAGGATTCCCGGGAAACTGAAATTTTTTAAATTTTAAATTTTCGGATATTATCGTAAACTGAATGTAAAAATTATATTTTTGAAAATTGAGATTCCTGGACAAAAAAAAATTTCTCCTCTACCAAACACCCCCTCATTCAAGAATAGTAATGTGTCTGGTGGGGCCATATTACCCAAGAGCTATCTAAGAAAAGTCTCTCATATATGATTTAATAATAAAATAATGGTTAATTAAAGCGGGTTGATTGAAGTGATATATATTTGGTTCAAAAGATTGTTTCTCATTGAGGATAATTCTAATTACAAAAAAATAAATAAATAGTTAAAGAGATTTATTAATCTCCTTTAATAGAAGATAGGTTGCATCATGCCATATACAAATAAATTATGTGGATCTCATCATTTTTAAGAAAAAAAGAAAAAGAATAACACAAATTTTTATGCCTCACTATAGCATAAGATAATTGTCTCCTGTAAAAGGAGACAATTTAAACCCATAGTTAAATGATGTTATTAAGAATGAGATTTTGGGAAGATGTTTTTAACTTGTTAAATCTATCATTTAATCT